GTGCGGCAGTTTTTAAAATTCTCAAGTTCAATAACAAACTAGGGTTTTTAATCAATATCTCGAGAACAAATGAACCAATTTCAGTTTTTTTTTACACGGTTATTTAGAGCATTAAAAACCCTTTCACTTGACCCATTTAATTCCATTTAAAATTCTGGAGTGAGGAGGCGTCGGGCTGAGGGAATTCATCCTATGATCATGAGAGTAACGTCAAAATATGCCCCTCTCGTGAAATCAGTTGACATGTTTTTGCGTTTTTGATTAAAAAATTTGGTCTCGGAGATATTGAAGGTGGGAAGTTTTCAATAAAGTGTCATCCTGTATTAGATAGATAGATAGATAGATAGTGTGCTTTATTGTCATAAAAACATTACAATTTGTTTTGTGGACAAAGCAAAACTTAACAACTAACAAAACTATTTAAAACCCGTCAGAAACAGTAAGAAAATTTAACAGCTCTAATATTTAGCTGAAGCACAGTATATTCAAAAAAAAATAGACTGTGCTTTGCTGACAGTTACAATTAACGGTAAGAATAACCATCTGATCAAATAAAATTACAGATTAATATTAACGATAAATTAGTTTTAAATAAGACAAAAAAAAAGACACCATAGTTTACACAAACTTTAAAAGTCGAGATTAAATCTAAATCTAAATTAATCTTTGGTAAATGTACAAATTAATATAATAAAAAATATATGGGTACCTAACTTATTGAGTATTTCCTTGCATAAAACTATAAGCTCCACGACTGAATAAGTTACTTATTAAATAGAAAGACACTACAATTACATAAAGTCAGGTTTAAATAAGTACAAATACCGAACAAAATAATAAAATTAAAAAAGAAACCCATTCTATCACAGTTATTCAAAACATACAAAGTCAGAAACATGCTAATCATTGCCTAAAATCTGTCTTGATAATACTCGTTCAAACCATAATAGGCTGAAAGTAGGTCTCGTAGTCCTTTTCTAAATAATCTCATTGTTGGTGATATTTTAATTGCTTGTGGTAGAGGGTTGAACACCTTTATACCATTAAAATGTATTGATTTATGAACAAGCGAAGATTTCGGAATAGGAAGCTGTAGGTTAATTTGCTGGGTAGATCTTGTACTATAGCAATAGCTAGTAGAAGGCCGGACAAAGTCATTGCGATGAGTATAATTGAGACTTGCTGTTTCTAGAATATACAAACAAGTGATGGTTAAGATTTTCTTGGATTTAAACAGAGGTTTGCATGATTCTCTGTAGTTAGCATTACAAAGATATCTCAATGCTCTCTTCTGTAAGATAAACAACATACCAATTAGCTGATCAGTTGTTGAGCCCCAAAAAGCAATGCCATACCGAAGGTGTGACTCAATTAGTGCATGGTAAACTGATTTTCCGAAGTTAAACCCTAGCTCCCGGACTGTCGTCTTCACAGCATAGCAGCCAGAAGCTATTTTCTTACTGAGAGAGCAAATATGTTCATCGAACTTTAAATTGGAATCGATTGTTAAACCCAAAAATTTGCTATACTCCCTTGCTATTAAACCATCTCCAACCCCAATATCATCATTATGACATTTAAAAGAAACCAGGTTAGTTTTACCATAGTTAAACGTCAAGAAACTAGCATCACATCACCTCTTTACCAATTCCAAGTCCCCTGAAATGGCAGCCTTAAGAGTAGCAACGTCACTACAGCTCCACGATATGGTAGTATCGTCAGCAAAAATGGTAAACTTTCCATTAATTGGAAGCATAGCCAAGTCATTGAAGTAAATCAGAAATAGAACAGGGCCAAGCACTGAACCTAATAGAATAGAATAGAATAGAATAGATGTTTATTCCCAAAGATCACATACAGGATACAGGAAAATATTTGCAGATAAAATTTGCATTACATGCTAATCAATAACATAACATTATAAATAATTATATATTTAACAATAAGCATAAGAATAATCAAATAATATATTACTACAATTTGTATGTAGTATTCATTCATATATTCCACTGCGTAAAGTTTAGAAACTCCTCCACTGTATAAAATACATTTTCCAATAAAATATTTTTAATAAAACATAAGAACTTATATTATGGATTTAACTGATATTTGCTAATAGATATGCGCCCCCAATACAGGGTGGGGAGTTCTAACTAAGTCGCTAGAGCCTTCGGATAAAATATGTGGACAAAACGCAAAAACACGTCGATTAAGATTTTTTCACACAGTGTTCCAAGAACAGCGGTACGGTTATCAACTTAATTTTTCTAAATGGTAGCCCCTGTATATTATGACATTTCTGGATTCTGCGGAAAATGTTAGACATGTTTCATTTACAATGTCATATACCTATAGTATTTGTAATACCCATTTAGAATAAACCTCATCCTTATTTATCAATCACGAATCAGATGAAACAAAAAATTACCAACAAAAACGAACGTCGATTGCTAATACGTCAATTTCATCTACAAATAGGAAAATCCTAGATTTTAGATTTAGATTTTTGGTTTCACCCTTTCGAGCCCATACTCTACACTCTGCAGCCTTTATAGGCTTTTTGTTTGGGCTCTACTCCTTCTCATTCATACTTGCAGATCAGATGATTGGCGGCAGCGCGGTCGACCCACCGTCCCGTACTACTGCGGTCACCCATCCAATGTCCAACCCGACACCGCGTTGCTTGGCTTTGAGTAGGGCGTCCTGTCGTCCTTTATCAAAGCGCCAACGTGCCGGTTTAGGAAAATCCTAACCTAATTTTATTTGTGTGTCAAGAAGCGACATACGTTTTGTCACTAAAACGACAGGTACTTCTAAATAGGTATTAAAAATACTATATCTTCAACTGTTTCAGAAATACTAACAGTAGAAAATTGACTTTTTTTGCAACTCTCACAGGTTGTAAAGCCTAAACTGTTAATTTTACAGCAAAACCGATTTCACAGTCTCGTCCGGAGATTTAATTTAACTAGAATTTTTAGTCAGGGATAAAATTCAAAGTTCAATTCAATTTATCAATTCAATTCAATTCAATTTATTGATCAGTATTGATCAGTACATACAGAATACACACAGTTGGTGTCAGATGATAGAAGTAAGACAATATATATGATCGATTTTGCTGTAAATTAACCGTTTGGGTTTTACAGCCTGTCAAAGTTGCAAAAAAGTCAATTTTCAACTGTCAATATTTCTCAAACAGTTGAAGATAGGTATATGACATTGTAAATAAAATATGTATAGAATTTTCCGCAAAATCCAGAAAAGTCATAATATAAAGGGGCTATCATTTAAAAAAATAAAGCTGATAACCGTACAACCGGTACAACTGTACTTGGAACACCCTGTGTGAAAAAATTAATCTGAAAAAATTTTAAGCAAAAAATCTTAATCGACGTGTTTCTGCGTTCTGTCCACATATTTTATCTGAAGGATCTAGCGAATTAGTTCCAGTTAAAGTCCCCACCCTGTATATATTAATAGTGCCCTTTAATTTATCAAGCATTACTTGTATGTACCGGGTGTGTTTTTATCTTTGATATCATTTTGATCACCTGTAAATTTTTTGTTTACGAAGGTATCAAGGTAAACAAAAAAAACAAAATGTAGGGTTAGTAGCCAAGTTTTTTTTCAAGTTACACATAAAACAAAACACTATCAATTTTTTGACACATAAAACTACATTATATTTTTTCAAATGGAACACCCTGTATATTATATTTGTGTTCGATAGAATATTTTATTCTGATTACAATGATACAACACACATCATATTTTAGTCCCCTCTTTTTTGACAAAATGAGCAAAAAATGAAACTTTTGAAGTGAAACTTATACGGGGGTCTGATATTTGCATTGAGGATATTTGGGACGAGAATTATTGAGAGTGAATATAAAAATTTCATATATTTTTGCCAATAATGAGTGGACAGAAATATGAAGTGTGTTATATCATTGTAATCGGAATAAGATATTCTATCGAACACATATACAGGGTGGAATTATTAAATGGAATAAAATTAGTATCAGAAAGCCCGTTTATTTTCTGGAAAAATTAAAAAAAACGGGTCTCTTTATTTTCAGTTTGGCAAATTTTTCGGCCTTTTCATGGAATTTACCCCTCTCTTAGGGGTAGAAGCCACCCCCAATGTATTGTGATAGCTCGTTGGAATGGGCATAAAAAAAGGAATATGACCCATTATTTACTTTTGCATTTCGGTGATCTAGTTAAGTATGTAATTATTTTTGACATTAAGGCACTATTTTAGGGTTGAGAATTTGAGTATTCAAATAGTGTGTTAACGTTAGAAATAATTACATAACGTTACAAATGGGGCTTGTTTCGCATTAGGGTTCTACCGAGAAGAAATGCTGAAGATATTCAACAATTTTAACTAAAAAAATTGTGTGGAAAAATATGTTTTAATTTTTTCCTCGCTTTCTAGATCACCGAAATGCAAAAGTAAATAATTGGTCATTTTCCTTTTTTATGCCCATTCCAACGAACTACCACAATACATATCTTTACGTTTGAAAAAAAAAGTTAGGGGTGGTTTCTACCCTTTAGAGAGGGGTAAATTCCATGAAAAGGCCGAAAAAATGTGCCAAACTAAAAATAAAGGGACCCGTTTTTTTTTTTTTTTTCCAGAAATTAAACAGACTTTCTGAATTCCATTTAAAAATTCCACCCTGTATAATATACAGGCTGTTCCATTTAAAAAAAATATATAATGTGGGCTTATATGTCAAAAAATTGATAGTGTTTTGTTTTATGTGTAACTTGAAAAAAAAAACTTGGCTACTAATCCTAGGTATTGTTTTTTTGTTTACCTTGATATCTTTAAAAACACAAAAGTTACAGGTGATCAAAATGATATCAAAGATAAAAAAAACACCGGATACTCATATGTTTTATATCATTTACCATGATCTTCATAAACAATTTTGATTGAGGAGTTCTCTCTTCCATTAAACTATTACATCTAATTCTTCTCTTTACAGAAACTCGAACCAATTAGGTAACATGAATACGTCGATGAATAGCCTGGGTGGTTATAGTTCCTTCAACTCGGTGTTCGGATCGGGAGACGCGAACACGCCCTCACTATTGGACCTGAGCGAGTTCCCTTCGCTGACGAATCGAAATTCCGGAGACGTTCCCCAGCCCAACCCCATGCCCGGGGCGAAGCCCTACGTGGGAATGGTCAAACAGGTGAGATTGAATTTGTGACATTGTAGATTAGATTATTATGGGTTCGTTTCAACAGATAATTTTTACACCGTTTTGATGATTAATAAGGTAGGCAGAAGCTACTCAACTGAACAGGAGGTATAAAGATTTTGGGATGGGCAGCTGTCCCACTTTAGCTACATGTGAACTGAGTCAACAAAGAAAGACACAGTTACATTTTTATTGCATACATTTTATCATTGACAAGTTATTGAACAAAAAACTTCACAACTTGTGCAAATCTTATACTAATATGTCACAGCTGCTGATTTAAGACGACATTATTCCAATGACCTCGTTATTCCTACAATATATCTCAATACAACAGAAATATGCAAAGCACAACAAAAACAGTGGAATGCCAGGAACAGTTTAGGATCAATTTTGACATTTGTAATTAAGCAACCGGACAAATTCCCCTCCTTAATCATATTAGTTATACAGTTAAAAGATCATTCTCAGAGAGATACTGATCGTTCTAATTATTGCTTTAATCACATATTTGGAAAAATGAAACACAAAAAAAAAACTTAACTGTAGTATCAAAAACATTCAAATGTGGACTTTTCAGACCATTCTATATAATCTCATAATAATTATTTGTTGAAACGAACCCTATTCACACAACGACATAATTTTTCTATTCGATTGGGCCCGAGCCCGCCAACTGATTGGTATCAGTTCTCATTCCAGCCGACGTCCGAGTCGAGCGAGTTCACGATGTCGAACGAAGATTTTCCCGCGCTACCCGGCACCCAACATCCGGCCGAGGGCGCGTCGCCCGCCGGCAGCCAATCCGACGATAAAACGATGGTTATGGACGGCGTGCAAACTAACGACGCGCAGATGGGACTTACGATGCTGTCGACGCAGTCTGGATTAACTTCGTCGGATAAAAGCTCGACGAAACAAACAGGTCAGTACCTACTTATTGGTAGAGTGAAAATCAATATCAATTAAAATTAAATTTCGTTTTAGGTGGAATTCGATCGACACCGGATGGTCGTGTAAGTAACATCCCCGCCAACATGGTATCGGATCAGTTCGGCGTCGTCGGTCTGCTGGCGTTTATCAGAGCGGCCGAATCCGATCCGAATCTAGTGTCGCTCGCGCTAGGGCAAGATTTGACGGCCCTCGGTCTGAATCTCAACTCGCCCGAGAACTTGTACCCGTCGTTCGGCGGTCCCTGGGCGGACAATCCGTGCCGACCTCAGGACGTCGACTTTCACGTGCCGCCCGAGTACCTCATCAACAACGCCATCAGGAACAAGCTAGCGCCGATGAAGTTGAGCATATACAAGGACGACGTGCTGTTCTTCCTGTTTTACACTAGTGTAGGCGATGTACTTCAAATTGCGGCAGCTACTGAACTGTACGTTTATTTTGTCATTGATTTGTTGCGGAAACAAAAATTGTTGGTTGCAGGTATAGTCGAGAGTGGCGGTACCACATGGAAGAGAAAGTGTGGATAACGCAAGTACCCGGAATGGTTCTTATCGAAAAGACAAACACGTACGAGAGGGGCACCTACTACTTCTTTGACTCTCAAAGTTGGAGGAAGGTAAGTCATTCTCAAAATATTTAATAGCGACAAAGACACTTGTGTGTCATCTTTAAGGTTCCAAAGAGACTTAGAAAGAAATTAGAAAAAAACTATAATATTTACAGGTTGTTCCAATTTGGACACTTTGTAATGATAGAGGTTGTTCTTTGATGGGCTTGAGATTTTTCTTAATAATTAACTAATTTATGAAATGTGAATCATTTTAGTTTATAATAATTGATATTATAATAATTTTCTATTTGTCTTGTTCCAGGTCGCGAAAGAGTTCCATTTGGACTACAGCAAGTTGGAAGGTCGGCCCGTTCTAAACACGACGTGAGCCGTTTCCGGGTCGATTCCATGACGCCCCGTTTCCCCAGGGCATCCCCGCCGCGCGTATAAATAAATGAAAAGTGTATGCATTATAATAAAATTCATAATAATTTTAAGGCTAAGTTTGGTCGGGAGTGCGAGTTCAATATTTGGACTGGCACTGCCAGAATCGAATAAGTTCTAAGGATTTTTTTTTTCTTTTCGATAAAACAAACACTTGGGAAAATGTTATAAAGCTATACAGTTTTCATTTTTTTGTATATTAATTTGTACAATATTAATAAATACTTACTGATTTATTTAAAATTTGAATTGAAGGCGTACTCTTCTTAGATCTCCATTTATTTCTGTGAGCACTGTTTATGTTGTTAATATAGGAGAACTTTTGATTTTTTCATTTTTTTCTTCAATTTCATCTGCGTAGCTCACTTGTTTTCCTCCATTTTATATCCCATCATTCAATGCTTTTTAATTCCCATCTTATCATAACCAACGACGTAAAAACATTGGCAAGGACTAAATTTTCCATTTCTATTGGCTCCAAAATAAAAAGTAGCCACAAATTCAAAAGTTGATTTTTTGATAGAAATACAGTGAAAATTTTTCAATACAAAAGATAAGTGGTATCAAGACTAACAATCTGATCATTCTTTTGCAAACATGAATCAGACGAACAGCGAAAGGCAGTTTGTATTTGAATAATAAGGTTAATTTGGAATCAGATTTTTGATTTGAACCGTGAATATTTGAATATAGGACTAAAGTCTTAAGGGAAGTTTTGAGAATATGTGTGGCAACAAGTATGCACAAACATTGGATAATCCCGCAATCATGAGTATTGCAGCGTCAAATAGTTTTTAATTGAATTTGGGTAATTTTTCCCATACAAATTGAAAAGTAACTGAAAATAACAACTTGAGGAACCAAAATAACTTCCTCAAAGCCAAGATTAGACAGTCTAGAACGAAATATAAACAAGAATTGCTAGCCCCTTCTGACAAGTAGTTTTATTCCTACATAAACAGATCTTTTGGTTCAAGACTTACACATTTCTCACGGGATGTAACCACTAACTCCCCCTAATAATGAAATAGAAGTTGCCAATTTGTTAGCCAAACAGTTATAGAATCTTTATAAAAGAGAAGATCTAAGCCATAGACCCAACTTTGATACTGATTCAATGTGTATTAATTTACTTGAAATTGTAACTTTTACACCTGGAGACTGCACTCAAATCAGTAAAGCCAGATTCTAGTCCATAAAAGGATAAAATCTTTGTCATTACTGATACTGCAGGCGAATAAGAAAAATTTGACCATACCCAGCATTTGAAATACTGAGCTAAAAATGGGTAAAATGTCTTTATTGAAATCCCAAAACTCCCAAAAAAATCTATCTTGGGGAAAATCTGAGCCCATATTGAAATATTCGTGTTTTAAGCATAGCCAGTGAACCAGGGCGTCCGATTTTATTTATTTTGTTCAAATTTGCGTGAAAACGAGCCCCCTTTTTGAAGTGAAACTTTTTAGGCGGTGGTCTGATATTTGGCCGAAAATGGAGAGTGATTTGGGAGACGTGTCACGGGCACAACTTAATCCTACGATTAGTTTTTGAGATACAGGTAGTTTAATGTCCAAGAAATATACACATTTTGGCTTTGGTCCGAATATAACCAGGGTTATGGTTTCACGGTCCGAAAGTAATCAAAATACTCTGGTTCCTTGAAAAGTGGTTACTTTTGGACCTCGGTTTCCTGAAATCTGGTTAACCAAATGTAAAAATAACTACCGGCCATCAGATGTCGGTTCTGTTGGTTTTATCTGTAATTCCTGTCAATTATTATGTCGAAAACGATATCCAAAATGTTGCAGGAAGGAATTGGAACAGAACTGCTAGGAATAGAAGAGATTTGGAAGAGACCTACATTCAGGAGTGGATAAGCACGGGCTGAGAAAAAGAAGAAGACATATGGAACAGGGAACAGTTAGAGTGCTCGAAACAGATACAGTGCTCGTGCTTGTACAGTGCTCGTGCCAATAATTCAAAAAAAAATACAAATAATAATAATTCTAAAAAATGTCAAAAAAATTTTATGGAATTTTTTGGAAATTTTTAGAATTTTTTTTTTGGTTTTTGTCAATCGTTAGTCGATTGTCTTTCTACGTTATATCTTTCTTCTCTCTCGTGTAACGAAATTGGCCAAAACGTGACTGCGTCTTTCAAATAACTCCCCTATCTCGTCCAAATAGGTATCGGACCGCTGCTTGAGAAGTCGCACTCCAAAAATTAAAAAGAAACAAGAAAAATTAACACACAAAATGCAAATACTTCCAATGGAATTTTTTGGAAATTTGTAGAATGTTTTGGCATTTTTTGGAATCTTACATACGAAACAGTTAGAATTAGAATGCTTGAAACAGATACAGTGCTCGCGCTCATGCCACTAATTCCAAAAAAGAATAGAAAATCCAAAAAATTCCAAATAAATGACTTCCTTGGATCCCGCACACTTCTCATGGGATTTGGGACTTCCGCCAAATTCAACCAAATTCTAGTATGATATAAATTTGACCTTTCTGATCAATACTTAGCATTGGCCCAACTTGATCCTATGACTAGTTCTTGAAATACTGGTAGTACAAGAAATGTACACATTTTAATGTACCTATTTCATCTACCTGATACCTGAGCGTGAGGATACCTGACCATCCTGGTATATTATTAGGCGACAGGTAGATGTAAATGCATAAAAAATTTGTACATTTCTGTTGGACATTAAACTACTTGCATCTCAAAAACTAGTCATAGGATCAAGTTTGGCCAATGCTAAGTATTGATCAGAAAGGTCAAATTTATATCATACTAGAATTTGGTTAAATTTGACGGAAGTCTCAAATCCCATAAGAATCCTAAACATACGGAACAGTTAGAGTGCTCGAAACAGATACAGTGCTACGTGCTCCACAAAAGGTTGAGGTTCCAAGGAACACAGCAAAAGAGGAGCGCCGGTAAAATCTGCCATTTATAGAGGACGACACGACCCTATTTTGCAATTTACCAGGTAAGCTCATGTAAGAAATTTCCCAGAACTATGTTTTCCATCCTAAGTTCCCCTGTGGTGCCAGATTTCGGGTGTTGACCAGGGAAACAAGATAATCAGCTCGAAATGAACAACCCAAACCACATCGATGACAAACAAAGCTCAAAGTTGTTATCTAATTTTGTCCCCCGGCCCCAACACTAATCAATTGATCAATAATCATCCATCTATCCGGTCTTTAGTCTAGTCTAAAACTATCAAAATGACCATTCGTTCAGTGATAGCAACGTAGTAGCAACGCGATAGCAACAATGGTCAAGAAACCTTGGCAACAGCGCTTCCTAAACGAGCGCAACAAGTGTCCTGACTCCTGAAGGAACCTCACTTATTCGGGAAAATAAATAACCGGGAAAAATGTAAATATTCCTAGAATTAAGGGTGAAACATTGATTTAACGGGTGTGAAAGTGATCTGTGGTGTAGAATTTTTAATGATGGAAAATACGAGACACACAATTTCGAAAAAAAATACAATAAATTTCAAAAAATTCCAAAATGGGATTTTTTGGAATTTCAGGGCATTTTTTGGAAATTTTTAGTATTTGTTTTGTTAGGTTCTAATTAGGAAGCGATAAGAAGAATGTGCTCTAATTTATATTTCCATTCATCAATAAAACATGAGGCATAGAACAAAGAACTTTTTATTAATTAATTTTTAATGTTACAGCATGACTTGCAACTTTTCAACAATATCACAGCTGACTACTAAACTAAACTTGACATAGTTGACATAACAAAAACGATGTTTCTACACAGTGTTGCCAAGTCAACATTTTATAGGTTTGCTCGACTTACTCCGAACTACTCCAAACTAATCTTATATTTAACACCCTCCCTCAAACCTATACAATGTTTTTTTTTTTTAGTCTTACAAAAATAGTTATGATTTTTAACATAAATTTAACATTTTTACAAACTTAGAAAATTTTTCATTGCATAAAGATTTTGTGAATATGTCTGCTAACTGTTCATTTGTACAAACATATTCAATCCTTATGGTATTGTTATTTATCAAATCCAATACAAAATGTAATTTAACATCAATATGTTTACAGCGTTTATTGTTTTCAAAATTTTCGAGAAGTTTCATTGTACTTTGATTATCTTCATATAGACAAAATGGTAATGATAAATTAATTTTCAAATCAAACAATAAATTCTTAATATACAATAGTTCACATGAGGCAACACAAATTGCTACAAATTCTGACTCGGTACTTGATAAAGTTACAAATGGTTGTTTCCTTGAACTCCATGAAATCAAATTACCAAATAACTTGAAACAATACCCACTTATAGACTTTCTATCGACAATATCATTAGCCCAGTCAGCATCAGAATATCCAACCAAGCTGTCATTAGAATGATAAAAATATAACTTATACTCAATAGAAAATTTCAAGTATTTCAATACTCTTAAAAGATGCTTGAAATGTTCATCAGTGGCACAGTCTTGAAATTGTCCAAAATAACTGACACCAAAACAAATATCTGGTCTTGTGCCCATCATTATGTACATAAGACTACCTAATAATTCTTTATATGGCAATTTTGTTTTGATATCTTCATTAGTATTTCTTTTTAAACTTAAATTTTTTTCAACAGGAGTTTTATAATTCTTACAATTTTCTACATTAAATTTTTTGATTAAATTTTTAATTGCTGAAATTTGATCCATGCTAATAACTTTGTTTTTCAAATCTCTACATATCTTTATTCCTAAAAAATCAAACTGATCATTTATCATTTTTTTAATTTTGAAAGTTTCACACAATTTTAATTTTAAATAATTCAAAAAAATTTGATTATCACATGCAATCAAAATGTCATCAACATACAGAAGCAAGTAGCATCTTACATTTTGATCAATAAAAGTATATAAACAATAATCAGATCTTGAACGTTCAAATTGTAAATTTGTCATGAAATCATTAAACTTTTCGTTCCAAGCTTTAGGGGCCTGTTTTAAACCATATATAGCTCTTTTCAGTAAACATACTTTACCTCTGTCTTTTTCTGAAACTTTAAGACCTTCTGGGATTTTCATGAAAACTTTTTCCTTTAAATTACTGTGTAAAAAAGCATTTTTTACATCTAACTGTTCCAAAACTAAATCATAGTTGTTACAAATTGATAATAAAATTCTTAATGTTGAAAGTCTTGCAACTGGAGCATGTATTTGTCCATAATCACCAAAATCATGTTGTTCGAAACCTCGAGCAACTAATCGAGCTTTATACATACACTTACCTTCATCATCTTCCTTGACTCTAAAGACCCATCTATTACTTATTACTT